GCTTGGTTGCAGACCGAGAGATGTGCCCCGTGCGCCGGACACAGAGATGGTGACTGCAGGAGGAAATTTGGACTTGACGGTAAAACTGGTAAAAGGCTAATGCGCTTGGCAGTGGACGTTCTAAGGGGGACTTATCGATTCCGCCAATTTAGCATCGATTCCGCCAGTATCGACTCCGCCAGTTCAGGTAGTCTAAAAACAACCTATCGATTCCGCCACCTACCAATTTCTACCTCGACCTGGCAACTGCTGCTGTCAACCTATTTCTGTTATAATAATAATAATATATCTTAAAAATAATTCAATAATTAATTTAAATATTAAAAATAAAATTAATAATCAGTTTAATAATTAATACAATACAATATATATATATATATATATTAATACAATTAAATTAGTCAAATATGGTTTTAAGTTATACAATGATATTTTTATGGTATGATGGATGCCAAACTAATGCAATGTGAATTAATATATACATAAAATAATAAAATATAGTTAAATAAATAAAATTGTATAATAATAATAATATAGGTATCTACAAAATAAGTCAATATTGAATTTTAATATAAATTAATAAAAAATTATTTTTTCCCTGGCGGAATCGATAGGTCGTTTTTAAACTATATCTGCATTGGGGGAATCGATGCTGGCGGAATCGATAAGCCTTATACCCAAGTATAAAATGGTCTGGCGGAATCGATGAAACCCCGTTCTAAGAAGAGAGACATGAATTCCATATTTCCATAATTCTGGTTAGGTTTGGATTATTTGGTTGTAAAAACTTCCGCTTATAATCAAATGCTGAAATTATGAAACAAAATTAACAATTTTGATTTTTTTCACGATTTTTCGACACTTTTATACCTATTATGGTTTATAATAAGTTGTAACATTCTTAGTTCATAATAATGTTAGCTTATAACTTTCTTATTTTGATATTCATTATATTTTGTATATATTATAGGTTTCATACTGTTCTGTGAATTCTCATTTCGGCACAGCCAGTGGCTTGAAATTGACCAACTTCTGTTATTTTAATTAGGTATATTAATATATCATATCATATTATACTATATCTATTGTAAAACTATTAGTGCAAAAATAAATAAATATTATTATTATATATATATATTATTTGTAGTTTATTGAAACTCAGTGAGCTTTTGCGTACTTGAGAAGCCGAGGTGAATCCAAGCAGTGGTTTTAGCAAAAAATGTTGATCTACTCTTATATAGGTAGTCTCTATATCGGCTCCAGAAAATCGCGAAAATCAAAACCTCCATAACAGCAAACAGCAGCTGTAATTCAAAGGGTGGTCAATTCACACAACTGTTGAACTGTTACTTAATACTGTCTTACTGTAACATGGGACGTTATGTCGGATAAGAAATTAAATAAATTAAATAGCCATTAAACCATTTATTACCCTTCAGGGTAATTGTTATCTAAATCTGTAGAAAAGTACTTCGTATAGTGTATACTATGGAGCCTTAATCCAGAAAAGATCGTACGAGAAAGGTATAAACATAAACGGTTCCAAACCACGGTGCTGAATTGAATTTATAATTGTGTCGTCGTAAAAATCCGAGAATTCGTATAGACAAGCAATTTAATCGATTTGAGATCTATCAAGGATAGAGATGACGTAGGTGTACGAAATACAAGTCCTCGAAGACTCGTTTTAAAGGTACTAATATTATACCACGTAGTCATGATGACAATAATATATATTCATAATTATTTATATTATTACAGCGCGAGTCACGTATTAAAATATCGTTCAAATCTCGTCGGAGTTTTGTGAGCGACTGACTTTGTCGCAAACCATGATAATAATAATGTGTTCCGCATAACTGGTCAATAAATTTAAAATATAGGAATAAAATATTTCCCTCGTTTTTAAAATAAATAATAATACAAGTACAAAAAAAAGAACAGAATTTTCAAATTTAATATTTGAGATAATTGTAACTTAATGTTGACATGAGTTTCAGTGGCACTATCTGCTAGAAAAATTATTGTTTTTTTTATCTTTACAATATTCTGTGGTTAAATATAAAATTTCAAATTAATTAATTGACATACACCCGACTTATAGTGCTATTTGTATGAAATATATACATTTTTTAGTTGATATTTTCTAACTTTTACATATTTCATATTATTTAATTCTCTCACTTAAAACGATTAACAATAATTTTTTTTTTTTGTAGTTATTATGTTGTCTTAAATGCCATAATAACAGATTTTTCATTTTTTTTATTTAGTTTTTTTTTTTGGTATTTTGCATATTATTGTGTTGAAATCTTGAGTATTTTAATGGTTTTTGAACTTTGGCGTAATGGTACTTAAATGTGCGCACTTTTACTAATTATTCACTGTATACATATTGTATGGAAAATTGATAGCTATTTAGAAGTATAAAATTTTTTTGCATTCAGTTGCAACAGTAATTTACAAAAATGGATTTCTTTAAATAAATATCACGTACTATTGTCAAAACTATGATTTTGGGACTTTATCAACTTTTAACGTTTAAACTTAACAAAAGGTATACAAACATTACAATCAAATAATTTATTACTGACGGTTGTAAAGATAAGATATGCACACCATTATAAAAATATTGCACTAATGAAAAATTTGTTCAATTAATTATTTTCACAGGCTCATATTAATTATGGACTATTGGTAAGACAAGTGCGCTATTTGCTTTAAATCGTTATTATTTTTTGTTTATAATACATCTTTGTTTTTAAGTTTAAAAATTATTCATTTTGAAGCATGGATAATCAAATAATTGGTAAGTACCATCTAATTACGTTTGTATTTATTTAATTAGGATTATAATTTTTCGCTTTAATTACGTCTTATTTACTGATGTTTCGGTACCTAGTTAGTTACTATCACTTGATATTTTTTTATTTTTCGTTATTACCTACACAAACAATTTACGTATAGATATTTTTTTTCAGTTAATTCTATCTTTCGAAATGCAAATAATATATTATATTATCGCGATTTGATTGAAGTTATAATCCAAAAAGGATTTATGCAATGTATAATTAGTATTGGATGTAGAAACTTTTTGTATGAATTTATTCAAGCTACATATAACATATTCAAATATTTCAAACTGTTCTAGTTCGTATAAAGAATTGTTAGAAAAAGAAATTATGAAATTTAGTTCGACAACTTCTAGGAAGTGGTCTAAAGTTAATAGAAATCATAAGAAATTTACTTTGAAGAGCATTGTTTAAAAACGGCAAAGATGTTTGTCACGTTATATCCATGGTACCTACTACATGCCCGCGAGTGTGCATCAAGTGTTATTACACGGTGCGGATGTTATAAGATTTGCACCACCTCCTATTGGTAATATTCATCTAAGAGTAAGTTTTATAAAAAATTAATGTTATACATTTTAGGTAAACTATCTGAAGAAGCGCAGGAGAGTCGAAACAAGGACTACAAACTATACAGAGAACATAATACTCGTAAAAACTCTAGGCTAAATACAAACGAGGATTTGTTGCATATATTGTTGATTTCGTTAGACCCGTACATTTCGTCCATTCGAAATGTGTCAAAACAATATGAACATGAGTTATCAGATGATGTGACAAAAATTATTGATCATACCAAAAACAAATGAAGACGAGGAAAGTGACATAAATCAATCTTTTTCAGAAATCACGGTGACTGATTAATCAGTGATTTACCTCGGAAGATTATATTATACACAATTATTTAAATTGAATGGTTAATTTAGTTCATTACTTTTTTTATTTCTTAAAATATATACCTATACCTATTTATAGCAAAAATATTTAATTTAACATTAAAAGTTGATTAAGTACTAAAATCATGGTTTTTAGTTTTTTACAATAGTACGTGATATTTATTTAAAGAAATCCATTTTTGTAAATTACTGTTGCAACTGAATGCATACAATTTTTATACTTCTAAATAATAGCTATCAATTTTCCATACAATATGAATATAGTGAATAATTGGTAAAAGTGCGTAAATTTAAGTACCACTATGCTGAAGTTCATAAACCATAAAAATACTTAATATTTCAACACAATAATAAGCAAAATACCAAAAAAAAAACTAAAATAAAAAAATCTGTTATTATGGCATTTAAGACAACATAATAACTACATAAAAAAAAATTATTGTTAATCGTTTTAAGAGAGAGAATTAAATAATATGAAATATGTAAAAGTTAGAAAATATCAATCAAAAAATGTATATATTTTATACAAGCAGCACTCTAAGTCGGGTGTATGTTAATTAATTAATTTGAAATTTTATATTTAACAACAGAATATTGTAAAGATAAATTATCGATAAAAAAAAAACAATAATTTTTTAGTTTTAAAAAGAGTACTTTTGGCCGCCTAAAATCGTCTTTTATACCACTGTGATGAGGGGGCGATAGGCAATGATGCAATAGTCTCTCTTCCCCATTTCGGCTAGAGCTCTGCAAGAATCTGATTATTAAAGCCCAAGCCCGTCCAGACCAGATTTATTTAAGTTAAATAAATGACCAGGCCTAACATTACCTTGTTTCCAACTAAAATATGATGTGTTTAAATGTGTGTGAAAAAAACATTGATTTTTTCTAAATCAAAATTTCTAGTTTTTAAATGAATACATTTATCCAGCCTTGACAACTCACACTAAGTGCATACTTAGACCAGGTACAAGCCCGTGCAGGGCTCTAATTTCGGTAAGCTTCCCTCGTTCCCTCTAAATTGTTAATACAGCCACATGGCACATACTGTATGTTTATTGTATGATATATATATATTGATATAGCCCACAGGGCCCCGTTATGGTCTATGGATCTAAGATCTAACTTATGGTCTTATGGAACTAACTTTATTATCTATGCATATTGCCTGTCCCATGGTATAATATATATGGGAGGGGATTGCCAAGTGGTGACATGTCAAAATAACAATATATGATAATATGAATACGGACCCGATAACGATAACTGATAAGCCATATTTCCTACATATTTTCAATAGAGTAATCTCCGATATTTTCATTACTACGATCAGAACAATCGTCATATTAAACTTAAGGTCAGACAATCTAGCTGAATCTTTTATTAAGAATGTTCAAAAGACTAAAAGGATCCATTGGAAAAAACGATGAACCAAAAACACCAAATTCTTTACCACAAGTAAGACCATAGTTTTATACAAAAATCTGTTTTAATTTTGGTATTTTTGTATATAATTTAGAATCGCCCAACTTGGAGTGGCTTTTCTACAATATCTCCACTGAATCCAGAAATGGAAGATTCTCAATTTTGTATCAATGATGACATTGAAGGTAATTTCTAAAAAATTGAAATAAATATTTGGAAATAATTTTTTTTTGGTTTTAATTTATAGAAACTCCTAAGAATTCACCAGCTCGTGTTGCCGTCAGTGAAAGTACTACTGTTGATCTCGGTAAATTCAGCCAATCTTCCTCATCACTAGCGAATGATCATCTTTCATTTCATGTATGTTGGTGTTTGAAACTTCTTGTTGTGATAGCCATATGCAATTAATAAAGTTTTATTTTAGACCGATATTGAATCAGCAAGTGAAATAGATGATAGTGTAAGTGTTGTGTCTGAGTATGCAAATGAAATTACAAAGGAAAATTTGTATGCCGCTTATAAAAAACTTCACGGTCGCTACCATAAACATAAATTTAAGTATACTGAATTAGCTGATAAATTCAAACAGACAGTTACCATACATGATAAAGATAAAGTAATGTAAATTAAGATATGTAAATGTATTTTTTGTTTCATAATTTTATCTCTTATTCTATTTTCAGATTACTATGACAAAGGCTCAAGATAAACTACTTCAAAGAATTGCAGAGCTTAAAGAACAGTGTACTTTGGAACAAGCTGCCAAGGCCCATATGGAAGATGCATTAAGAAATGATATAGAAGAAAGAGATCATATTATATCTACTCTTAATACCAAAGTAAAAAATAATATTATGTTTTGTTAAGAACATCAGCATGTATCACAATTAATAACAGTTTAGAATGTTTCATAAATTCTAACATATGGTTGTGAAAGTTTATTTGTCCTAACATAGGTATAGGATATTTTGTGGATATATTCAAATGTAATTCAATTTAAAATTGCCAAGATGTTCATTATATATTCTGTATATTCTTTATATAAATAATTCTATTTCTTATAAACAAGGATTGGTAGTTCTAGTATTAAAAAATGTATTTACAAGAGCTTTAATATGCACTTAAAACACCAAAATATGAAAAATTAGTAAAAAAAAAACAATTTTCTAAACTTTATTTAAACCATTATAAATCATTGGTCATCATATTTTGTTGATACATACTCATTGTCTTAAGTAAAGGACTGCATGCAAAAAAAATGACTTTAATGTATGGATGGCTCTGTTCTATACTTTTCCAATAATTTAAATACTTAATTTAAATAATTTGTCTGTAAATATGTTTATTACCATTCACTAGAATTTGCTCAAAATTTGCTCTTAAAATTCCAAATTAGCAAAATGGCTTTAAAAGTTGTAAATAACCCAAAATAATCAAAATTAATGTTTGTATATGATGTTTGTGAATTTTGAAATAAAACTGTGTACCATGTTTTAATATTTACCCCAACAAATATGCAAATTTATAAGCCAATTTATTGCTTGTAAATTAAAATTATACTTTGTTTTTGATTATTTTTTTATAGAAATTTAAGTATACAGTATTTAAAACTTAAAGAAAGGTTTATAATCTATTTTCATTTAAGAGTATACATATAACGATTTATTAAATTGTACAGGTTGTAATTTTATAATCAAATTAGACTTGTAATTAAAAATGAACTCAAAAAAGTAGTCATTATCATCATTAGTTTAAAATGTATTCAGTATTTCAGTATTAACTGTATTTTCAAAATTATAATTTTAGATTGATTTGTTGAGGAAAAATAGTTCTGACGAGTGTGAATCATCTTCTGTTACATCTGTTGATTTATTGGTACATATATATTTGTTTTTATTGTTAATAAAAATCATAAATTTAATTATGATATACATTTAGGCTAAGTGTGAACGATTGAATGATGAATTATCCTCAACAAAATCAGAGTGTGCATCACTAGAAAACCAAATTGAGTTGTTGAAAAAAAGCGAAGAAATCACTTTGTTAAGTTTAGCAGAAAATAAAATGGCAATCCATAAAGAACTTGAAACCAAAGAAGACCAAATAAAAAAATTAGAGAAAACCATAAATGGACTACAAATGGAAAATCAAATATTATTAAAAGGTTAGTTTTAAATAACTTGTGTATTTAAACTAAATGTTAATTTATTTAATCATTCTTTCAACATTTTTTAATTTTAATTTTCAGAAAAAGCTAGTCATTTGTCTACAAATTCATATCAGGTATAGAAAAAATGTTTTCCTTTCACTAATTACATACAACTTATTTTATCAAATTTTTTTGAATTCATAATTATGTATTTTTCTTGGTTAGATAAATATTAACCAGAATGTTCAAGAAGAAATAACTAAGCAACTTAATGAGCTAGAAGGTGAAATGTCTTCAGCATTTGAGTTTAAAGAAAATGAAGTGAAAGAGCTGAAGAATCAATTAAAAGCTCTTGAACAACGTTGTGAAGTACAAGAACAAAAAAATATTTCAATGGAGGAAGTTATGAAGAATAACGAAAACAATTATAAATCAATTATCTCTAGTTTAGAACAAAGTTTGAATGAGGATAAGATTTCATCTTCAAAGAAAATTGATGCATTTTTAAAAGAAATTGGGGAAAAATCACAGGTCATTAAAAATTTAACTGTTAAACTAAAAGAAATGGAGAAACTTAAACAAGATTATGAAAAAAATAAAAATGAAATACAAGATTTGAAAAATCAAGTTCTTCAATCTAAAAAACTAGTCAAAGAAAATGAATTAATTCGTGTAGATGAACAGAATAGATGTATAGAAGAATTAAAACTGAAATCAGAAGAAATTTCTCATTTAAAAGATAAATTAAAATTACTTCAACATACGTTTAAAGAGAATGAAAAAAAAAACTTAGATCTTCAAACTCATATTGATGAAATTAATTTTAAAAATAAAAGCCTAAATGAATCTGAAGAAGAATTAAAGATGACAATTTTTAATTACAAAAAATCCAATGATGAATTACAAGATACTATTAAATTGTTACAAAAAGAAAAAGAAATTGCTATCGATACAATGAAAACAAAAATGGATGAAAATCAATTCGAAATTGAGAAGTTAAACAACTTAAATAAAGAAATGTTGTGTCAATTAAATCAAGATAAATTAATTAAAATTTCTGAAGAACGCAGCATTGAGTCTGTAATTAAAGATTATAATCTCCTAACAGAAGAAAATGCTTATTTGAAAAAAGAACGACAAAAAATGCTTCAGACCTTCCAAGATATGCTAAAAAATATTAAAGTTGACTTTGGAAATCTTAAGTCATTTGCAGAAGAGCAATTGACAGAGTGTTCATTGATATTTGTGAAACATATAAAACATTTGAAGGCTGAGTACTCATCTAAAATTAAACTGTACCATAATAATATGACTGAAACAAAACGAAAGTTAGAAGTAATTAAAAGTGCATATTTGATATTAAAATCTGACTGTGTTCAGAGTCTAGATAGTTTTAAAATTGAAATTGAAAAATATAATGAAGGTGTACTGCTTCTAATATCTCAAAATAATAATGAATTAGAAAAAAGGAAAATAGATTTACTGAGACTTCAAGAAGAAATTGAAAGTAAGTATGAAATAAATATACTTTTAGAACACTTTTATAGTTTCATTGGTTGTTTCAATTATTTTTACTTTTTTTATTTTTAAATATTTACAATCTGTATACACAATAATATAATTTAATAATTACATAGGTTGACATTTGTGTACAAATTATGGCAAGCGTGAGGGAAGGGGACATCCTACGACACTTATTTCAATTTATGAATTTAGGGTTATAAGTTGTTGTAGATTATTTAATTGATCATGTGGCCATTTACGTTTGAGACAACAAGGAGGGTTTTCTGATAATGTGCCAACTGAGGGTTTGAAAATGAAGGGCTTTTAATATATTAGACAACATTTCATATTCTTTTTCTTAAAAATAAAGATAGAAAAATATCTGTCATTGCTCATTAAATTTGTCTCTGTAAATAACATTTTTCTTACTTATATGTTTGAAACATTTAACACTGAATTAAAAAGTCACAGTTATTAATACTTATTATAGTATATTTTTTTGTATGTGCATTATTATTATTATTATTATTATTATTATTACTATTATTATTATTATTATATGGCATGATATGCAAGCATTACAAACTAGATACAGATATTTAATTCACAAAACAAGAAAATTAATGTCAAGGGTAACTTTTCCCTTTGTATATACATTTATTAATATTATATTTAATTATTTAGGCTATAAGAAGAGTGAACACCGCTCAGTGAAAGCAGAAGTGAAAGAAACTATACAAGAGTTACAAGAATGCATTGAAGTACAAAAAAAAACATATACAGATCTACAGGATGAGTATTCTAATTACCAAGTGGTTAGTGATCATAGTTTAATAACCTATACTAATTGTAATTATTATTTATTACTAACTACTTATTTAGTATTTTTTAATTAAGTATATTTTCTTAGAATGAAAAGAAAAAATGGACGGATAAGTTAATAGAAACTGAAAATAAGTGGTTGGAGAAAATGGACAATTATAAAAAAATGATGGATACAGAGCACAGAGAAGAAGTAGAAGCTTTAACTAACGAATGGACTAATGAACAAAAAGTTAATAAATTAATAATTTTTTATTATAATTTTTATATTTATTTTGATTTTGATTTTTTGTTTCGTTTTATTTATTTGCAGCATAATGCGTTTACATTAATGACTGCTGATAGTAAAAATGAAGAGGTGCTTTTTTTCTTTATTTTATTTTTTTTTCATTTTTTTAAATTTTTTGTTTCAAACATTTAAAAATGTGTTAAATTATGTATTTAAAACACAATTGTATGTTGTTAGACTCTTGAAAAAATTATTCAAGATGTTGAGACCACATCACAACGAGAAGAAGCTCTTCAGCGTCAAATAACCAAACTCAATAAAGAACTCTCTGAATTAAAAAAAATGTACAGGTATTTTAATAAATATTATGCTTTTTTATTCATGCTATATCTTAACACTATAATATTACTTTACTCTATAGAAATGAAATTCATAATAAACATAGAAATAATGAAGGAGATGATAATGATGATGATAATAATAAAGATGGATGTGAAATGGAATATTTAAGAAATATTTTATACGAGTATATGATGGGGAAACAACCTATGGTAAGAGATGAAATTAAAATTTTAAATATACTTATTTCTCTAAAAATAATTTTTTTATTTTGATAGGTATAAAATTTTTATTTTATTTTTAATTTTATTTTCTATGCAATTTGAAAACTGATTTTAGAAAAATAACTGCTAAAAAAAAATTATTCTAAACATGTCTATGTTTGTCATGTATGGCATCTTCTTAACAGTTTACAGATACATAAATTATTGATATACTTTTATTATAATATTCAAGTATATTTTCAGTTACATTGGTTAAATTCATACGTGGTACTCCAACAACTAGCTTATTTTCCTCTCAGGTATAGTGTGTATGAACTTTATAAATGTGTGGGTATGATAAGATCCCATGTGAAACAGGCCCAATATTGTCGTTTAAATTTCCTTATATTAAGTAGTAGCATAACTACTTATTATATATTTTTGTTACTAAGGTCAAAATATTACTTATGTACTAATGAATAATGTTTAATCATAATTACACATGGGAGTAGAGAAAGCTTGGGTAAGCTTAGGACTCATAGTTTTGCCTTATTTATTTCACAAATTGAGTGTAAATTTTGGTTTTAATCACTTTAAAAACATTTTTTTTTTATTTATAACAAATTATTTTATCACTCCAACCTTAACGCCTTATGTGCTTATATGCCTTATATCATATAAGTTATATGTATATAAAATAATAAAACCCACATTCTATTCAAATTTAAATTATTATTATTATTGTTTTATTTATAAAATAAATTATTAACATTTTTGCAATCATATTTAATGCACATTTCTGAATTTTTATTTTGTATAATTCTGCAGGTATTGGCTAAAGTATTAGCTGCTATAGTGAAATTTGACTCTAACCAGTTAAGTACAATACTACAAAAAGAAGAACAAAAAGTTTCTTTGGTAAATATATAATTTTAATAATTTTAACATTTAATGAAAAAAAAAAAATGAATTTTTTTTTTAAGTTAAAAACCTTAGGACTGTGATATTAACTGTCCAGAAGCAAATCATAATTGTTATATTGTCATCTCAACCGTTACTTCACTACACTAGCATCATTCCAAACATAATTTTTCATAAGCAATTTTTATCATAGTGCAATTATTTTATAGCAATTTAAAATTTTAATTTGTATTATTTATCTTGTAATCTTGTATTGTTACTAAAATAGGTTAATTATATTATGTTATTATTAACATATTGTTTATTATACGTTAGGTCATTTTAATATTATATTCATAGGCAAAACTGTGGGTCATCTATCTAAGTTAAGCCTGACCTCATGCACCGGTAGAACCTTTGAATACATATTGAGGCCTGAGGGGTATAAATTTAACAAAATGTATTACTCATACTTTGTCCAGCGAGAGAGTTTTGCGCATCCCTCTGCGTCATCACGCTCATAGAACCGGTTCACCTAAGGTAGTGTGTTGCGTACTTGCGTGGAGAAACCAGGTTTGGTTGGTGCACAGCGCATTTTCTCGCTGGACAGAGTATATATACAAAAAAATATATTTCAGTACAATGTCTATCTATATGAGTGGGTAATACCTCTTAAGTAATGTAAGGTAATATTACCAGGCCTTGGTAATATTCTTAGAATTTAATTATCTCAAAACAAATACAGAAAGAGAGATTTTTGTTGTGCAGAAAACAATTTTGGTATATTTTGGCATGACCAAAAAAAAGTCTAGTTTTGCCTATGCTTCTATTATTTATTTTGTTATTTATTTTTAATATACAAACAATATCAAACATTTATTGTATGAATGAGTAATTAATTAAAAGTATTAAGTATTATTTATGGTTATTCTGATACAAATTTTTAAACAACTTAGACTATGTAGGTATAGTTTTTATCCATTATCTTATAATTTATAAATGTTACCAAGAAGAACATTCAATTTTCTAATTTTTTGTTTATTGGCTTGAAAAAAACCACCTGTACCTAAAATGTTGTAGTATAATCAAATTCAACATATCTGAAATATCAAAAGATTAATTAATATAAGTCACATACATTACAATGTGTACATATTTATTCAACATAATGTATTTTATAGTTAAAATTTCATAATTTTGTGTATTTCATGAATCAATTTTTGATTTTAAAGTGATATTGCTTGTTTGAATTAAATTATTTTGACACATTTTGTGATTTACAATACTGAAAATGCTATAGTTTATTAGCTTTAAACACTTAAATCAAAAATTGGTTTGTTTTTTAAATACAAAGAAATTAGATAAATGTATACAAAATTATACAATTTTTGTTCTGTAAAAAAAGATCATTTTTATAAGATAATTGATAAATATTCTGAAATAATAAAAGTATTTTATGTTTACTTTTGAATTTTTTAAGCTTGGTACACAAATTGATAAAAATACTTTCTAATATTTGACTATAACTTTAAATGTTTATGTAACTATAGTAATAATTCATCATTATTTTATTTTAGTAAGTATTGATGATCGACAAAACTAAGGTAAATACTAAAAAGTTAAAGACATTATTTACATTGAATTTTGCTGTTACTTGTAAACTTCAGTAAAAATATTTTAATTTTGTGAGTGAATTCCAGTAAATACCATAAAGGACTACTATTAAATAATATGTTACATATTTACTTGAAACCTTTAATATACTAAATTTAAGACTTAAAAACTTCCTATACCTATAGTAAAATTTACTATTGACAAATACTAAAATACAATTTTAAAGTATTAATAATTATTACTCGTTGTTTCAAAAACTATAAACATTTTTGGAAATAATATTGTTACTTAATTGTGAAAGTCATTACAAAATAACATTTGAAAACAAAATATATTTTTAACATTTTTTATCGCCATAATTTTTTAATTTGTTACTTAATGAGTAATGACATATTTTTTGTTGACATATATTATTAATTTCTTATTCTAAAAAACAATTTTTTTTAGAGTACTTCTGGATACGTTTGAATTACATTTTGGACAAGTAGTTTATGAGTTAAGTGTATTTAAACGTTGAAGTATTGATATTGGAATGTCCCTTTGTTGTTAGTTGACTGTTTCGCCCATCTAAACTTAAAATACTAGCTTAAATTAATTAACTACTTGTATCAGTTTAATAATTGGTGTATTGGTAATTATAGCTTGTATTTTATTAATGTCAAGTTATCATAGTTTATGCTAGTAGCTTACAATAAACAAAAAAAAAAACTACTTGTCTGAAATTCGATTTTTATGTATCAAAATATTCCGCTTATGAATATAAAATTACAAATTTATGTTGTCATTCAATAAAGTATATAACCTTCAAATATTATTAATAACATAACTTTTTATCAAAAATATTGTTTTGTTACAATCTCAAATTATCTGGAACATTGTTTTCAAAAACGTTCATAGTCTTTAAAACATTAAGTATTTTACATGAAATAAATCGCCTGTAGAATCATAGACCTTTAAAGAACTTTATAAGTCGATGCTTGATATATCTTCTAACAAACCATTATGTTGGGTAAAATACTTTACTCTTCACATGCAGGAAAATGTAATACAATTTTGTTCTTTTGTTAATAAAATACAAAGTGATTTATTTATTTTACTGTATTTAAAAAAAAGGTAATAAGTAATAAAATTACTGTTCATTAATAGCTATGATTTACATCAATTGGATTATTTTTATTCTGCAATTACAATTATTGGTGATACACATGAAACTACAGTTATGTCAAATTATGATCCAGTTCTTATATTATTTTATTACTATTATTAAAATACACAGTGTATTATTATTTATTTATCATATATTATTCAATCGACTTACTGTTATATAAAATTAGCAAATTATATAATTGTATTTATTTTTATATAATATTTAAAGTGCTGTGCAATTTAGTAAACACATCCTGTTATTGGGGTATTTCCTTTTTTTGATAAATAAAATAAAAATAATGAACATACTTTTTAAATATTTTACATAGGTACTCGAAACTTGTTTATACATTAAAATATTGTAAAAAACCAATGATTAAAACACAGATAATTTTTTTACCTTTAAGTTTAATTCCATCCCAATTGGTGAAGTACTTATGCCTAACCTTTGACGGTTGTCTTACCTGGGAACTGTATATCAGAACTAAAAAACTCACCCTAAACAAATGACTACACTCTATTAATATCTAGCAAATACACCAAATTATAAACAACAAAATCCTCATATATAATGTAGACTAATGGCCTGCAGCTATGGGGCAATGCAAAAAAAATTTAATGTGAACAAAATTCAAACCGTTCAAAATAAAACTTAATCACTAACGCCCCACCATACGTCTCCAACTACACACAAACTTAAGTATAATAAAAACAGTTAGCGGTGAAGCAGAAACCTTTTTAGTTTTTACAAACAATTTTATAATATAGACTTGTATCTCATCCTAATCCTCTTAAATGAAATTTACCTTCTTGTACAATTCTGGATAATCCCACACAGCGACTGAAAAGAAATTGGTATCAAGATTTACTTTATGATTAATTAAAAAAAAAAAAATTTTAAAACAAACAAACAAATAGATAATGCTTTCACTGGGTGGCTTCTTCCCTCACGCTTTTTCATGTACAAAATGTTTCACTTATCACATATTCTCATTATGCCAAGGGTACAGATTGTATATTTCTTGTTAAAAAATAAAAATAAAAAACCTTTATGGTTAACAACATGTCAATTCTCTAAATTTAAGCTAACAGCATACAATTGGAACTGATGAACTTAAATGTTGGTAAGCAGTGGTGTCATTCAGGGGTTGGGGGCTGCAAGATGGGCTTTTGCTCCTGTCTGATTTTAAAAGCAACTCGATGAGACATTGTTGGGTCTTTTCCTTTCAACCATTATTATATATTTAATTTTTTCAAAATCATGCTTATTTTTTTTTTAAATATTTTATCGTGTACAAAGAAATTATTGTCATAATGATAAATTAATAATTGGAATATATTTATATTTAGACTCATACATGAAACTGGTGTCTGCCTTATGAAGAAAAAGGGATATATTGTTCAATTTTTCAAATTTTTGTACACACAACAATAATAATAATAATTAATGTCATAATCCCATTATATAAACTATTATTGCTAAAATTTAAAATTAATACAAATTGTTTAATTAAAAACCGATTGGTACTCTTATTTATCATTGATTTCAGACTTCAGTTAATTTTGAGTTTGTAACAATGTATTTGATACACTATTTTTTATTTCGTTGAATTTAGTTTAGTACATTCAAATTTAATTTTTTCGGCATGATTCCATTATTTTTTTATATGGACAAATGTATTAAAAAAAAGAAATGGGTGTTTGGAAAGTAAGTGGTTATAAGTGGTTATTAAGTAACCCATTTGGGTTGGTCAAAACTGGCTCCCCTCTATTGAAAACTGAGTCGACGCCATTGTTGGTATGTAAGGTGTAAGTAAGATGGAGGCACATGCTGGTACCAACCTCCTCTTAATTTGTGTTTTATAAAGTTTTCTAAGTTTTCATTAGTTTAACAGGAGGCTTGATCTTTGGAGTTTAAATGATAAATCTCCATCTACTTACACTAGCTTTATTATAATTTATACTTTATAGTCTTCAACTTAGTTATGTGGGCTATAATTTTTTTATTTAATATACTGAGGTATAGAATTTGAATTATATAAAATATAATTCATTAAATGCTCAAACAAAAACTTATTTTTTGCCATTTAATTGAATTCTTACGATAAAATTAAAGTGCAAGTATAACAAATTTACCTACTCAAATGTTAAATAATGTCTACAATCTATGGTATTACCTGCAGCAGAGGTGGCCAACTTTAATAGACTTGCAATCAACCTCCGAGTTTCTCTAGGTTGTTGCGATCAACCAAAAAAAAAAAAGGTTGTCAATAAACAAAAAGTATAAAATAGTATGTACCTGTGTGATGCACATGTTACACTACTTCTTTTATATTACTTTTTATTTCCAATATAAATTCACAGTTTCACACCACACGTATTTTAATATATTTGATTACAAATTATTACTTTTAAGTTTTAACTTATTACTATTTACTACTATAACAATACTACTACTTTTATTATTACCACTATTACTATGTTTATTTAATTATTTAATGAGATTTTTATATTTGTGGGATGTACAGAGGTACACAAATTTACAAAAAAAAAAATATTTTATTTGTTTTCTGAAAAAAATTCAAAAATTCAAGAAAATGCGAAAGGGTGTCGCGATCACTTGAATTCATCTCGCGATCGACTGGTTGGCCACCCCTGACTTACAGGACTCAAAATATTTATCATTTATAAAACGACTTAACAAATCTACTACATCAACTGGTGTGATTGAAACAAAATATACATACACATATTTTGCTTTGTTAACTTTATCTGGCTAAAGTGAATATGATGTGTAGCTAATGTTGATAAAATGTATTTACCTAATTAAAATAAAAAATATAATTATTTCAATGAATTATTATTTAATTATAGTTTGTTTTTAGAAAGTGTGTCAAATTTAATTTTTAGAGAACCAACCTAGTTTTATTTTATATCAAAAATGTTAGCCCACAATAAAGATTTATATTCTACAAATATCAACTTTTTTTTAGTTATCTGGAAATGACAAGGATACAATTTTGTATATCTATCAGTAGGTAATAATATGTAGTTATAAGAACATTATTTTCTAGGCTGCTTATAGAGTAATTTTTGGAATAAAATACATAGATGC